GAGTTCAGGATGAGTTTGTTTCTTCATCAGGTTTGGAGAAATGTAGCATTGCATCAATGTCTCAGCAATGGATGCAATGCTACATTTCTCCAAATCTGATGAAGAAACAAACTCATCTACATTTTGGATGACCTGAGAGTGAGGACATTTTCAGCAAATTGTCATTTTTGGGTGAACTACTCCATTAGTTTCACTTTGAAATGTGCCACATTAACAACGTTTCACGTAGACTTTAAGAAAAGGCTGCATGCGAGTAAGGAAAGTATTGATTTATGTACCTGCATATTCGTAAAACCAGGCTGCTCAACAAGGCTGCATTTATTTGATCAAAAATACAGTAAAAAGAGTAAAATTATGAAATAATATTACAATTTCAATTAACTGATTTCTGTATGTATATATATGTTTAAATATTTTGTCCAGTCAGTGCAAAAATTATATAATATCAGTGAGTTTAATTGTTAAAGACAGAAATTGATTTCTATAGACTCACTGTAATAATTTTTTTATTAATAATTCAATTATTGATGGATCATTATTCAAAAAGACGGAGTCGTACTTACGTAGCTGAACTACTGCACTTTCTCCATTGGTGGCGACATAATGTAACGTCTGTTCTCCATAGTAAGAGGCTCCTGTTTTATCAACCTCTGTGCTGGCGGTCACTAGAACCGCAGTGGCTTTGGGAAAGACCAGAAAGCATGAATACATATATCAAAGTTGATGATAATGTTGAGAAACCAACAGTAATTATCTACCCTTTTTGTTCCACAGCATGGATACTTTATCGGCTTTGAAAAAGCTTTTGTTTGCCAGAGCAGATGTTGGACCTCCGAAATTGGGATACTGATACAGCCGTACAAAAGACGGAGCTCCTTTGCTTCCAGGAACATAAACGGCAATCTTAAGCAACACGAGAGGGATTAATATTCATTTCTATGAGTAAAACAGCATATTATACAGCAATGAGAGGAAATGTCTGAAAGCGTTCTGATACCTTGCTCGGCTGTGATCCAGGAGACAAAGCAAACTCAGACACCTTCTGAAGGTGAAGCTTGTTGGCGATAGTTTCTACACAATAAAACACGTTATTTTTTTAAGTATCTGTCATGATATTTGACATTTACTTCATCTAAAAATCAGTACTTTATTTTACCAATTCTTTTTTTAAATTTTTTTTATCACAATTGCAAGCTACATAGAAAGGCTGTGCTACTAAAATTCATTTATCTTATCATACAGGATTCATTAAAAGAATAGTTCACCCCAAAATGACAATTTACTCAACCTCATGTGGAGAAATGTAGCATTGCATCACTTGCTCACCAATGGATGCTCTGCAGTGAATGGGTGCCGTCAGAATGAGAGTCCAAACAGCTGATAAAAACATCACAATAATCCACAAGTAATCCACACCACTCCAGTCCAGCAAGTAACGCCTTGTGAAGCCAAAAGACTCTCATTGTTTGGACTCTCATTCTGACGGCACCCATTCACTGCAGAGCATCCATTGGTGAGCAAGTGATGCAATGCTACATTTCTCCAAATCTGATGAAGAAACAAACTCATCTACAGCTTGGATGGCCTGAGAGTGAGCACATTTTCAGCAAATTTTCATTTTTGGAAACTGCTCCTATAGTACAAACAACAAAAAAATCTAACTACTAAAATTGTGAGAAATCTAAAAGAAATATTGAGCACAGACACTTTATACATTCATATCAATTTTAAACTACTAAAAAAATGTCAATGTTATTTATCAACTTGTTTCCACCCAGTTTAAATATAACATGTGCACTGAATTAAGTAAACAAAAGAACACTGTGTTACCAAAGTTGTTGTTCTCAAAGAAGTGAAGTTCATTATTGACATTTCTAACAGTAATACTTTCATCATCTGCCCAGCTCGGACACCTGTGAAAATACAGACAACGAGCGTGTTTTACAATTACAGACAGATCATGAATAAACTGACAGTAATCAAACTAATTCTGCATTCCATTAACATTGTTATGAACATTATTACTAGTCTCTCACCATCCCGTAACCTTCTTCTGATAGAATGCTTTAATGCAGGCACCAGTCTGCAAGTCCAGCAGCTGCAGGTTTGCCTCTCCCTGAGGGTTATCCTGCGTTTCTGAAAAATAAAAACTGTTGCTGGTGGTTTCGAAAGACAGTAAAGTGCATTTGCAAATGCATTTACTATGCATTTGCTAAGGTGTCCTGGCTGGTTGCTTACTTAGGTGACATTTTGTCTGTTCCTATATTTATTATAAAGCTAGAATGTCATAGAAAATCTTTCTATCATATATTAAAAGCTCTTACTGGTATATTGCTGCCAGGTGGCCAGAACTTTATTGAGAGGTGAGAATTCCAGTGCGGTGGTTTTGGGTAAATCAAAAGACTTCACCAAATCTCCAGTGGAAACTTGGATCACACTGACCCTATCAAACACACACAGGACAGTTATTAATCAAACATCAATTTGAACTACTACGAACTCTACAATGCTGAATACGTACTGTGAGCCATTGCACCAACCAAACAGGGACCCGTCGCTGCTGAACGTCATGTATTTGCCTTGCCGTTCGTCTCTGAAACAAATTAAACAGGTGCTGTTAATAAAAACGACAAAGTTTCAGGTAAAATCTTTCTCAGTGCAGTAAATGCAGTAAGTCACCTCTGAAAAGCAGAGCTTTCCTGACAGCTCGGAGGTCCACACAACAGAAACGTGCCATCTGATCCTCTGACTGTTTGAAATGAAACAGGATATGTTAAAACCAGGAAAGACAAGACTAGCTTGTTCAGCCTTGAAGATTGAAGGTTTTAAATCTTTTTTAGATTTAGGACATAATATTAGATTTAGGACTTAATATTAGGACAGTTTGGAAAGAGATCTGAAGTTTGTAACACTGTACAGACAGAGGGACAGATAGACGGACAGATTTTGGCAATATGAGGGGATTTGTAACTCTCAACTATGGGAAATAATAAGTCTACTAAGTCAGAACAAGCTGAAGGATTTGCTGATGTATGTATGGATTTTATTGATGGATGTAGCTTGAAAACTATATAAAAGTTTCAATAATTGGTCTCAAGGTAGTGATTTCAAATAAACAACAACAAACCCTGACCAAAGGTCTATTATGGTGGCTTTGTCAAGCCTGCTTAAAAACGGTTTCTTCTGAACTCATGACATGCATCCTTTTAAACCATTTATCAGCTGATCATTAGCTAAATATTATATAGAATTTTTAATATTTCATATTTGCATATGCGTGCATACGTTGGTACGCTTTAGATCAATACTCTGATTTCTTTAGAATTACGGTAAAAATATTTTTTTGCGCATATGACGGGTTTATGAATGAGTTTATGCGTGAATATGTCTGCAGAACTTGAGAATAAATAAGATGTGAGTTATTTCATAACATGCTCTCCATCTCACGTTGATTACTTCTCTTTACGCCACTGAAAGGAGCATGAAATATACATTTTAGAGCGTCAACTCACCTGCTAAATGAGGTGTGGGGGGCGCCATTTTGAAACGGAAGTGCGACAACGTGCCACGTCACAGGATTCCGCGCAGACGTCACTATAGAGCGTTTCGGTTGCACCAGAGTTTGACGTGTAAAATGTCAAAACTAAATCCATAAAGTAAAGTTTTATTTAGTTTGATTGTCAGCAAATGATTTCTCAAAATTACTATTGTTTTTTTTTTTATCTCAATAACAAATCGTGTTACAGATTTACGGACTAGATTTGATTTGGTGTGTGATATTCATTGTCATTTTTTTTTGCATTTAGTTCAATCGATATTTATTGTCAAGTCTTTTGAAAAACAAAAACGAAAATAGCATAATAAAAACAATAATTTCGTCTTTTGATTACATTATTGTTTTACTCAACAATCAAAGAGAAGTTTCCAACTAGGCAAAAAAGAAAAAAAGAATGACGTTTATCCTGAATGGGCATTTTTAAAAAGAGAATGTGTGAGTTTTCAGATGAACATGAAATCAATTTTTATAAATGTCTAAACACATCATCCTTCAGGGGGGCGATCGGCGGCCATACAGCCAATGCTCCATTAAACCGTATTCAAATCTAAAATCTGTTTTCATTACATTTTTATGCTAAAAACAATATATTATTTTAAAGGTTTGCCACCTAACACACGCAAATGAATATTCTCCACAAAATTACTAAAAACAATATTTTTTTCCAGTAACCGAAAACAGCAGTGATTGGTCCGCTTAGTCAGCGCTGATTAAAGTAACACTCACCACGTGACAACTACTCCGCGTTTAAAACGTTCTGGACAGCAATTTATTTGTAAATAATGACGGCGACTAACTTTATTGGACATTGACAAGACAACTTATAGTGAAAATAAATGAAATAGAAAAAATAATTAATATTTAGATCCGTCGGCTGGTTAGTCCCCGCCCAGCATATACACCTTTAATTCGAATCGCCATTTTTCCTTCTCCTTTGCTCTGTTTCCGAAGCGTCCACGTCTCGTGGGTGGAGTGAGTTTCTCTTAAGCACACGTAGACTAAACCAGTACATCAGTCCGAGATCACGCGTCAACTGATCACAAACCTCTATCGCTCCGACTCGTCTTTTTCTTTAATAATAACAGCAGAAGATGGTGGCAAAACAAAGGATTCGCGTGGCGAATGAGAAACACAGCAAGAACATCACTCAGAGAGGCAATGTGGCCAAAACTACGGTAAATCACCGATTTTACTGCTCTGACTCTTACTATAGTCATTATTTTGATATATATGTTATCTAAAATAGCACTTACTGCTTTGTTTGCGTTACAGTAAACGCTTACTTCGTTTATTTATGTGAACTTGCACTGGATAGCAGTGTAATATGTCCATTTGATCACATTTAATATGTTAATTTGATCATATTGTCTTTCATAATTTAGCTCTCTGTTAATGTTGATATACTAATGCTAATATATTCTCACCAGAGAGTTTCTCAAGAAGAGAAGGCAGCGGTGGGACCTTGGCTTCTTGCCTTGTTTGTCTTTGTAGTGTGTGGATCAGGTGAGTTGACAACCCGAAAAACATCATTAAATGTGTTGTCTAATTAATTCTTTGAATTCACTGATGACTTTTTCAATCAAGTACATCCAATCAGCATTGCAGAATGTGAACTTTATTTCATGACCCCATGTTTAAAGGGACAAAGCGCAGACTGATTTCAAACCAACTAAATTGAAATTATTTATTTTATTTAGTCATTTAGCAGACGCTTTTATCCAAAGCGACTTAATGACTTGATTTCTTCCAACACAATACCGTTAAGTATTTTGAAGTCATGCGTTAGCTTTAACTAGTGTTGTAATATTGGGTTAATAATAAAGGGAAATGTCTGCATACTTTAGTTTATTGACATTTGGAGTTCAAAAAGAGTTTTTCACATGCATGAGCACCATATTCATTGGTGATGTGCTCTAACCATCACGCACTTTAATATAAGACACCATAAAAATCTCATCCACATGCAGTTTGTTCTTTTGTTTTCTTCTGATGAACATGCACAGAAACTGAGCAACCTCAAAAAACAAATAAAATATTAGCAGATAATAGGAATTCTTTACATTAATATGATATAATATTTTGTTCTAATGTTGTTTTTCTGTCCTCTCATGACAGCGATATTCCAGATCATTCAGAGCATCAGGATGGGAATGTGAAATGAACGGTCATCGGCGTTGTACATCAGTTTGCTCTTTGCTCCTGGCTTGGCTGAAGATCGCTTGATCATTCCTCTTTTCTTATTTAATCTTTGTCTTTTTCACCACAACACCACAGTCTCTTGTGCCTTACTCAAAAGCTGGAGGAACATTATCATCTGTCAATATTGCTGCTGAATCCTATAGGCAATAAAATACAAATGACTGTTTGAAATTTTTCTGTGGAAAAAAAACACGCGTTTGTTTAAATGAAATGCTGCATTGAATTTTTCTATGTTCTAGATTTTGGACCAGTTCATGTTAAAGTGCCCCTATTATGGATTTTTGAAAATTACCTTTCATGCAGTGTGTAACACAGCTCAAAGTGAATGAAAACAACTCGCAAAGTTTTAAATCTAAAAGTGCACCGTGTATAAAGTTATTGTCTCTCAAAAGAAAGAGTCGACTCTGAATCACTGAAACGAGTCGTTTTTAAAACAATTCCCAAGCCGTTTCATGTTGATGTCAACATGAAACATTAGCATATTGCCCGCCCACTTGTTGGTCTTTTCAGGTTGGTCTGAATGAAAATGCAAATTCATTCTCTGCCACTAGGTGCCAC